TATTAAGCAAAACTTTGTAAATTGTAATTGAATTGTAAAAAATCCTGTATAAAAACTCAAATCTTGTTTATTTTTGCAAAAAAGTTTAAGATGATCAAAACTGTCCCAATTAGCGAAGTCTATATTATTTGATTTCCCCCCCTTAAAGTAACAAGCATAGGTGCATGACCAACCGTTTACGAGATTATTTGGCAATGTGATCTCATTGAAACACACTGTATATTACACACTCAAACAGTTTTGTCATTAACTTATATTATTTCGCGAAACAGATGATTAATGGCGTATGTAAATTTAAAATAAAAGGAGGGAACGCTCCCTTCTTTCTAAGCAAAAACTGATTAAAAAGAATTTCAATTCTTAAGAGAAGGAGTCTGAAAGGAGCAGAGAACATCACTTAAAATTTGAAGGGGGTAAATTTTGTTGTGAATACATCAGTTATAGAAACATTGCTATGCTAGATACACTTATATAACGTAGAATGATGATATTAAAATTTTAGGTGACAGCAGTAATTTATTGCAATACATGTCATGTAAGGCTAGGTGTTCTATTAAGTATGCCTCCGTGGGGAGGGAAGAAATTGGCTCTTGTATTCAAGTTGTATAAAACGAAAACCATGACTCAAACTGACGTGCAGCCCACTGAACATCAGTAGTTCGCCCCGGAATCCATTCCCGGCGAACGGGCTACCTGCATGGGACTTTCAAAGTTTACCCCATAAGTAATCTGAATACAATTCAGTTTCTCTTAGAAAGGCCTTAATGAAGGTATGCTTTTATGGCAGACAGCCTTCGCGTGCTTTGCCTCAATTAACCAGCTAAACACTGCGTCACTGATTGAACCCTGACGAAATAATCAGTAATCAGCAATTCCATTCACTCGATCTAAGCTAAGTCTTATTTAAATTACGATAAAGATATGGGTTTACTAGATAAATTTCATATGCAGATCTAAGTAATATTTATGAGAAACAAACAGGAATATAACTTGAGCCAAAACTTTCCTTTAATATTGATGCAAGTTCGCAGTTAGATCGCTACCTAACACAATGTAAGTGAGACTACTTTATATCTAAACTGTGGCAACCAGTTACGCTGCCATGACGTAAGACAATGAGTGTGTTTAACGCTTGATTGCACTGCATTATGCAACATTTGAGGGGCACCAAATGAAATATTAAACTAGAAAACATTGATAAGTTAAAAAGAGGAAAATGTATTGGCAACCATGTTTCACGACTTACTTATCTTTTTGGTCTTTGATAAGACAGATTAAAAAGCTAGGTTAAAATAAAATGATTGGAATAGGGAAAATTAGAAAAGGAAAAAGTATTTGGTATAAAAACCGCTTAAAAGGCTCTAATACTACTACAGCGGGAAAACAACTACGTATCCGTTAAATAAAGCATATTCCATTCTTTTTATGATTCCTTTTTAATGCTGCTGCTGATCACCAGTTGTAAGTCGTACGACTTACAGCTGGTGTGCATTTGGTAAAGTCCTAATTTTTTTCCCGTAAAACAGAGTGCACTGTCAAACTTTAAAATAAATTAATATAATGATACAGCTCATCTAGGATCTGTCCATCTATCATGAACAACAAGATTCGCCTTAAAGTGCTTTACTATAATTAAAAGAAACTGGCTAGATGAGGATTATGGTAAAATCTTACAGTATATTCAAATACTGAAGGGAAAATATTCATGTTGTGAATGACAGCAATTTTTCAAAATAAAATCTGACTCCCAAATGTAGCTACTAAGGACCAGATATTATAATACATACATAAAAAAGAAGGCAGTGTCTTCAGATTTTATCTAAATTGTATAACAGTGAAGGTATAGAGATGCTTTCATGTTTTAGTGCAATTGTAATTTGTAACTGACATTTTGTATACTTTGCAGTCTGTAAACGGTGCTATTGCTCGAAAGCGCAACTATTCTTTCAATAAAAGCAACACAGCGCAACAATTTTGAGTTCATAAAAAATAATAAATGGCACTAATAATATTAAAAAGGCTAATGGCTGGGGATTAAAAAATGGTTAATTAAACCCAGTTTATTTCTTATAAAAGGTAATCCTCAGTGTAAAAGCAACTCTGCACTAACAAATTTCGAGGTTCATCGACCTCTCCTGATTGAGGCTCAGAAGATTATGGAGTTCTGGTTTTTAATTGAAACTTTTGAATTTCATGAGATATTAAGAACTTTTTCTAAGAATCGCATCGTCGACAATATTTTCTTTTTGGTAGGTGGTGGTGTGGTGTATTTAATTACGGCAAAGCACACTAGGGCTATCTGCTTAAGGGGTGGGATGCCTTCGTGGAGGAATTTCTAAGAGAAACTGGCTCATATACACGTTACACATGGGGAAAACCACGAAAACACCCATGCAGCCAGCCCGTTCGCGGGTCTTTTTGGTAGGTGCTAAACATTTCGTCGCCCGGTACAATATCTGTCGCTCTTAAATTCTACCTCCCGGTCTTCCTAAAATTTCGTTACTCCTAAATTCTGCCGCACGGTTCGGTCGCACCTGCTTTGGCGCCGGAACTAGGCAAAGCTGTTAATTGCTAACATTTCTGCGAGGGTAGTTTATGTTATTTGAATATGGCAAAGCACACGAGGGCTATTTGCCTAAAGTAACGGTTGCCTTCGAGAAGAAAAACTTGCTCGTATTCACGTTACACTTGGGGAAAACCATAACATGACGAATTTCTGAGAGTAAATATACGGATCTTTTCGAATAAAACATGTGTATTTGGTTAATTGGGCCTTTTGATTTGCAAAGAAAAACTGAAATTTTGTTATTAAACAAAAGTCTTCGACCCTTAATACTGAAACTGATTTTATAAAATTCTCTACATTGTTTTAAAGTTGATTCGTTAATTGATTGGAGAAAGAACCGCGAGGGTTATCTATCTCATAGAAGTTGTCTTTGCAGAAAATTTTCCAAGGAGGCTTGCTTACATTCCATTACACAAGGGAAAAAACACGAAAATTTTATATACTATTATTCACTCCAACGATGAACTACCAGTGTTTACGAAATTTATCCACTCGAGCACCGGTGAGTATCTTACTTAGAGAAACGTTTGCTATCTGGCTGAATACTATGTAGCCCTTAAAGGTATTATCACATCTAACCATGTGCGACGCTAGAAGAAACTTTTCTGAAAACTTTTCTCCCACCATTGGCTGAAACAGGAGAATACCTACCGAAATAGTCAGACTGGAAGATATTCCTTACTTATGTACGCGGGACCTTTTAAAACGAAGGCGAAAATGTTTCGTTTGCAGCTTTGTCCCGCGCATGTTTTCCCATAAGTATACCATTCAAATAGCCCGAAAGCCAAGATTCTTGGAAATGTTTCTTTTGACGTGCAGTCATGAAATGCTTTCAGGTCTGATAATGGTATAAGCATTCAGCGGTCTTATTCCCGCGGTCACTAGTGGGTTATTCTGAGAAATTCCGTAACTGAAAATACATGTCTAGGATCAATATTTAAGGGGAATGAAAAGAATACAGCTACCTTTTTTCGAACATCTTACATAATGAACTCGAATACCTATTCCAGATTTCATTTTCCGTCTGATTAAGTATGGATACTTAATTTAAAATCTAGTTCAGATCGCATTGCATATTGTTTCTGTACTTTTATTTTATTTAAGATTTTGGGTATTACCAAGTTTTATAAATAATTTTACTGCATGCATTTATTCGCTCAAAATTTTAACCGTCCAGTATCCAAAAAGGAATTTTCAGTGTTCGTACATAAAACCGAAAATTTTCAGTGCAGTAATTACATACTCACGTTAAGTGCTAAAATTTTTGTTCTATGTGCATCAACACGCATTTAAATCGAAGCTTGGACCATCACGTTGACAGACAAATTAAAAAAAAAAAAAAAAAAAAAACCCTAACTTTCATTTTGCAATGCTCACGCGAGCGGGGGACTATTAGATGAAGAAATCTAGGTGACGAGAGTAGCTTGGAATTTTGCCCAATTTTGAAGAAAATTCATTCTAGGCAAACTGGAACAGAAGCAATTAGTTTATGTTTAGAGACGAAAAAGTTGCACATAGCCCCCCTAAAAATGTATAAATATTGCAAGGTATTTCTCCCACCTTCTTGGTGTAGTGGTCTGCACGCTCAGCGCGTAATTGAGAGGTCCGTGGTTCGATTCCCGGCGAAGGCATTGCTAATTTTTCATCTTGCCAGCTTCCAAAAATACCTAATGTCTCTACAGTGGCGCCCGAACTAAAAGGGTGTTGGATGATGATTCTCCTCACCCAGGATTTGGTGAGTGGGTCCCATAAAAAACCCCAGTCACCCTTTAAAAGAGGGAGTATATAAGGTATTTCTCCCGCCTTATTAGCGAGCCTTCGTGGTGTAGTGTTCTGCACGCTCAGAGCGTAATTGAGAGATCCGTGGTTCTGTTCCCGGCGAAGGCGTTGCTAATTTTTCATCTTGCCTGCTTCCAAAAAATACCTAATGACTACAACATTTTTCAAATTTATGCGAGTTTTAGTCATGCTTAATTTTCATTTAATTGGCTTTTTACCCCTTCCAGTTCTTGCTTTAAGCAATACAACAGATTTTGTAGCAAATTTAAATTAACCGTTCAGCAGTTATCCAGGAGGATTTTATAACGATTACGCAATGAATGGGCTAAACGATAAGTATATGAACTATATATACACTACCACACAAATATTTGTCACCCTAGCCTTATCTCTTTTCATTTGATACCTGCATGCTTTTACATGACACTATGAGTGTGTCAAATTAACGCTGGATTTAAATTGCGCCAGAAGATTGCGCAAGTGTCATATGAGAGGTGGAGATATTTGCCCGATACTATTTTCCATATTTAAGCGGAATATTTACTCTTCCAAAGTGTGTCACAACTTCATCAATTCATGCACAAACAAAAGTTCATTTTACAAATTTAAACTCTCCGTTACTTAATGGACACCGTTTAAAACGAAACTCATTTACCTTAACTGGTTCCCCAAAGATTGGCTGTGGAGAAGGCTCCCGGATTTCATCCAGCAACTGAAGTCGAGCCCGTCGTTCTTGCTCACGAGCAACATCCACTCTGAAATAAAAATTAATATATATAAAAAAGGCGAAGTGAAAGCTAATTAGAAATCAAAACATAATCCCGGAAACATAATCCTGAAACACATAACTGCTAGACAGTGTCACTGAATATGACATTTGAAAGATGCATGAAAGTAGTTAAACCAAATTTTTCTTAAAACTTTTAATATAAATGACATTCCTCGCATTAAATCATTCTTAGTAATGAACTTAGAAGGTATTAAATTTATTGTTGTTATGACTCATCTCACTTGTCTGACAGTAACATAAGAACAAGCCCGCGACAACTTCTCAGTCCCCCCCCCCAATTTTGAAGGAGAGAACCCGGGGAGGGACAAGTCCAAGGGTCTCCTACCCCTCTTACCCTACCACCAACCTCTCGAGAGGACTTTCGGCTAGCCGCATATTTATTGTGTCCCAATGCCTCACAGACACTATACATTTAGAAACATCGAAGTCTTCTCCATGATTCGAACCCGGGCCGGCAGTCAGCGATGCTAACCACTATCCGTATTAATTAATGCCAGGCGGGGGCACAATCCACAAATCGGCGAAAGGACCGCAAAAGAAATTTAGAAAATGACAAACTGCTTTTAATGGTCTCGGTTACGAAAATAAGAATGACAGTTGAGTACCGCACAGCAGTTCCTCCTTTTCATAAGCAATGAACATTCGGTTAAAACATATTAAATGTGAAAAAAAAAAAATGAAGCTGGTGAAAGAACAAGCGTTGATAATGCTCCTCTTTCGCTAAATTGTACAAAACAATGTGAAGGTTTTTATGAGTAGTTACAACATACACGTACAAACACAAATAAATAAAAAAACTGCAGTCTTAAAGCTTCAGATAACAATATAATACTTCAAAGAATTTAACATTAATTTTTTTTAAATATTAAAAACATTTAAAAATCGTAAGATTAAAGGGAACTTGCAATTTGATCTAGATATACCGATATCAGTTTAATTTCTCAAAGAATTTTAGGCTTATTATTTAAGGCAGACTTACTAAGTTTAAGAATCATGTCTCTGGAAATTAAACCCACAGAATCTCTCATATTCAAAATGAACTACTCGCGAAATAGCAAAGGAAAACAGTAGAAGGCAAAATTTCTACGACTTGACGTCATTGCAGATTAACGCCATGTGAAGACTTATGCACTTACTATCAAAGAAAATTATTCAAGGTGTAGTTGCGTATTTAGTTCTTGGATCGCTTACGCACGAAGCTTACTACAATTATTTGCCTCAGATGGCAAGATCTATTTTGCCAAGACGCGAAATCTGCAAAATGAAATAAATAAACGGTATTTCTGTTGTCGGGACCGGATTCAAAAGTGTATGTATGTCTGCACGTGTGTATGTATGTGCGTATATATGTGTGTGTGTACACACAAACGTATGTATATATACATGCATACATGAACACATACATTCATGCATATATACATACATTTCTGAATCCGATTCGATAACAGAAGTGTACCCAATAAACATCTTAGAAATGTTTAAAAAAAGTTTTATACTAGAAGCGTAGGAATTATTGAAATATAAGCCATTTTGAAGACAAACCTAGAGATAATTCTGACAGAGACATTTCTATTCATTTTTATACTAGTTCGAATTTAAAATAAGAAATCCACACGAGAATATTAATATACACAATATGTTTAAACATAAACACTCCCCATAAATAAAAATTTCTCCCATCATATATAGACAAGTCGTCAGTTAGTTCTTTTTTAGGTAACAGATTAAACTTTGTAGTAGCAGCAGAATTCATGCATAACTTTCTTTCTATAAAAACATTTCAAAATCTGTCACGTTTAGTATGAAGTTCTCGCTAAACGAGCATCTCCAAATTTATAATAACTTCACAGCAAATTCTATGAAACTAAGAACTCAGCAGCTATGCTTTTTATATAAAATCTAGTAACAGTTTAATTTTTTATCGAATTTTTTAACGCTTCAAATTTGAATAACGGAAAGTGGGTAATAATGCGTTTTACTGTATTGTAAAGAAGAAATAATTCAGCAACGGCGATGTCGGAACTTCTAACCTTTGTTAGTCTCGCACACAGCTCAAGATCTTTCGGCCAACAGATTTGAGAATTACGACGCAAACTATATATCTCAATTCGCTAGAGAGAATAAGCATTTAGCCAATATCATACCAAAGAATTTATGGTCTGAAGAAGACAGATTTATGCCAACCGAAATCAACATCTGAAGCTGACCTTAATCTTTATCGCTCCCTACACTAAAGATAATCGAATACTGAGGTTTTTGTACACCACTAGGCAGGTTCACCAGAGGTTAAAAGATTTCGCTGCGTGTGGTAAAAATAACCTCCCTCCTCAGTATTTTCCAAACAGCGTTTACTCGTCTTATCGCTCATTAAAAAAAAAAAAAAAAAAAAAAAAAAAACCGCATCAATCTTCAATTACACTCAATTTTTCTTCTCTTGACCTTCAAATATTACCTAGCCTGAAATCCGCTACCCTATGTGACGTTGGTTTAATTGCACAAGAAAAAACAACAAAGAACTTAAATACGCCAACAACTTCACCTAAACTAGTTTTTTCATATCATTACTCAACTATATGAAAATCAACAACCTTTATTTCATTCCTTTTGATTAGGAGTTTTAGACAAGACGCACACCGCAAATTACTCGCCCTTGAACTCAGATTTTCAACCATCAGAGGCAACCGGACTAACCCAAAAGTCTAGACTGCCAGTAGAAGTTGAAAATTTCAGATTTTTAGCTTAGAAACCGCGTATCAAATAGCTGAATGGAGCCTATTTCCGAAAATATTTCAGTGCTGTCTTTTAACTATATGTCTACGCTACCTAAATTGAATGTAGGAATCTCGAAAAGACTGCAGCATTTAACACTTTTTAGAGTGCAACATTTGCTATTTTGAAACATGTCATACAAACATAAGCAACTCTAAAAGAACAGGAGTTTGTAGAAACGTTTCGATAAAACGTTTAGAACAACAGTTTTTTTCTTCTAGAATATGAAATCAAGCATAATATAAAAATTAATACAGTCGTGATCTTTGATCTACTAGTTAACCAGTATCCGATCAATTCAGGATGATAAATTTTTATGATTTGCATGTGTTGTGACAGATGCAGTTTTCACTGTAACATGATCCAGTTACCTGGTTGCTTTAAAGTATGGCAAAGTATGGTGTTTGGTGTGTATTTGATTATCGCAAAGCACTATCTGCCTAAGGGAATGCCTTTGTGAAGGACTTTCTAAAGGAAACTGACTCATATGCTCGTTACACACAGGGAAAACCATGAAAATGCAAATGCAGCCAGGATTCCAACCTCGGACCGAACTACCAGTGTTCAACGACTTTATCGCTCAGCCGCCGGTAGGCCCAACCTACTACACACAAATCAGGCCAGCCAATGGTCGTCTTATTTAATTAACTCCTTTTTTTCGCTAATTAATGCACCGCAACTGACCCAATAGTGTTTTAGATGAGCTGTTCGTATTTTTACGAACATTTGAAGGGGTCATTCTCTCGACTTCGGACATAATTTTAAGACTGTTTATTGTGATTTTTGACATACTGGACTTTACATGCCACCGCTCAGCCAAACAATCTACGGCCCCCAGTAGCCTGAAAAGTAACAGCCATTTCATTGCTGTTCTTAAAAGAGCATGTAAATAGTGTACATAGCAATTTCTGATTATTTCATGTAATTATTTTGAATTATGTGCATATATCTTTTCAATTAGTGCAGTAGTTGGCAAGCCACGGCCCTCATGACATTAGATTCGCTGCTTTTAGGCCGCGTGACCAGCTAAACAGTGCCTGACCACAGCCCCTTCTACAGCTCCATTCAGTCTTCGCATTTTCTCGCAGGAAGCAAACGGCTTCAAAATTTTTTCCCACCTCAGCTTATACCTCATCTGAAGAATATTATTTACGGACTTTCTCAGATGTCAGGCCCAATTCGGGATTCACTCAGGAATCTGGAAAGAGCAGGGATAAGAATTCCCTGCTGCGTGCCAAAATAATAATAACAGTAGTATCAACCTATCAAAAGGGGGCCCAGAGTACAGGTCATCTATCTGCTTAGGAGAAGGGGTGCTTTCAGGACTTTCTTAGGAAAACTGGCTCGTATTCACGTTACACATAGTGACAAACACGAAAAACATCCATGCAGCCAGCCCGTGAACGAAGGCACATGGGCCGAACTACCAGGATTCAGCGTTTTTTAACAACTCGGCCACTGGTGAAACATGTAAGAACAATTCAGAAGCAGAACTATGCAGTTAACTCTCTTGAATTTATCTAAAGGAAATAAAAACCTATTTTGTTGAAGCATTTTGAAATGAAACGATCATTAAGGAAGTGGGCTTTTTTTTTCCTCCCTAGCTGTTAACTGGAAAAAAAAAAAAAAAGAACCTAGGTCCACCTCCCATATTTATTTAGTAAAAATAGTTAGCTTCCCAGTCATATTACTTCACATCGAGTAAGTTTTAAGTAAATACGTTGTACTGTCCACTGTAGTTTCAGTTACACTCGCATATAGAAACAAAGGAGAAGCTTAATTTTATTATTATGGCTGACAGAAATGACGTATCTGTAATAAATAACATCATCCGATTAGCAATGCTGAAAATAAACAAATAAATAAGAATAAAATTCCAGTCTAAAAACTTCAAATTAAGTCTACTACTTCGAAAAAGTTTTTCATTACAATTTGTTTAACTATTAAAAAGTTGCGAATTTCATAAAAAAATCCTTTTTAGGAAGATAAAAGATTCCCTATCATCTATGGAAAGTATTAAGGCACCGTAACCGTGCGGCCAAAGGATGCCGCCCGGAAGTCATTACGTAATGTAACAATAGATGGACATAAGAGGACTAATAAGAGAACAAAGGGGTCGTGTCTTTGATGTGCCGCCCCGCCATCTTGGATCATGTGTTTGCATTTATAATTCATGTGACGTAGATGTGTTTGCAT